ATTTTTATGATGCAACAAATGAATTATCTGGAATTTATTATCCAACTAGTTGTAATTTACCGTATCAATTAATGATAATTAGTGATTGTTTTGCCAAATATATAAATAATCCACGATTTCAATGTATTATTGAAATTATGGAAAATAAATTTAAAAAATATTGGGAGAACATTTCTCCCCTTTATTGTTTAACTACAATAAGTAGAAGGCATAAATCTGCTAGTTTTACAACAAGTTCATTTGCTAAACTTAATTTTTATTTGCAAGCAATTTTTTCTAATTTAGGTGAAGTATCAAATAATTTTGATATTTTAGCGTGGTGGGGTGAACACTCGAAAAATTATCCAGTTATTGCAGCCATAGCACATGATCTACTAACCCCTCCGGTGTCTATAGTTCCATGAGAGTCTTGTTTTAGTGCAGGTACCAGGGTGTTAATGACAAAAGAAGCTGCATGAATGATGAGAACATAGAGATGTACATCTGCTTCAACGATTGGCTAGATGCAGAATTTAGATTACAAGACAATGGAGGGCATGATACAACACCCGACGTTTCACCCGAAGTAGATGATGAAAGTCATGAATGATGATTCATGAATTTGACTACTTGTAGAATTTTTTATTTTTTCAAATTATTGTAAATTTTTGAAATTTTATTTAATTTATTTGATATATTTTTTTAAATTTTTAGCAATGTAATTTTGTATTTTCAATTTGTAACAATATTGTATTTTTTATATTTTATTAATTTATTCCATTTTATATTTCATTCATCCAAGTATGCAATGATCCAATCATTGTATTTGTAATTCACTAATTTGCACCATTCAAATTTAAATGAAATAAAATTCCTATTTTTCTTCCAATTTGTTTTTCCATCATTCTTATTTCAATTTGGTTAAGTATTTTTTTTTTCATTTATGTATTAAATAACTTAGATTTCTCATTTCTTAATTTTTTAAATAGTTCCTAATTCCCAAAGTTCATAAAAAAGTTAAATATTTTAGTTTTACAATTTTACTTAGAAAAGAAATCAAAATTTTCAAAAAAATTAAAAAAAAAAGTGCAGCCCGGTTCGGCCTAAGCCCAAGGCCCGCCCTGTGGCCCAGCCCGGCATGGTCCAAGCCCACAACATGGCTGCAGCCCGGCCCGGCACGGGCCCGCTTGGGCTTGGGCCGTGGACCGTGCCAGGCCAACCCCCAAAATTTCCACCTAGGAGTAAGGGCGGGCCGCCCACGGGCATGGCCCACTTTACACCTCTACCCAAGTCTCTATATATAAAGGAATAAATTTGAAGCTCAAAACTAAAAAAAGAAAAAAAAATATTTTTTCTATTATTTTATATGTGAACAACTAAAAATATATAAAAATTTTGGTAAATCATTGTTACTTAATTTTTCCCTTAAAAAAATACATTTTTGAATAGTAGCTCGCACAAATCTCCCATCTCCTCTCATTTTTCACACACATGGTTATTTATTTTTAATTAACTAATTAAAAATATAATAAATCAAAATAAAACCCTCTTATATTTCAATTATCTCTAATAAAGTTGATCATTACTCTCTTTAATTAATAAGATCATCCTTAAATCTCTCTCTCTCTCTCTCTCACACACACACACACACACAATTTTAAACCCCTTTTGCTCTCAATAAGTGGGTCAAGTTAAGGGTCAATCCATGACCAACTCTAAATATGGATCTTAGCCTAAACTCAAATTGATGCCAAATTAAACCTAAATTTTGTCAACCAAAATCTAACTTGTATTAGGTCTCGATTTTTTGGGTTTAGTTACTAGTTATAAAAAATAAAAAGGAAATAGTCTGATTCACAGCCTTATTGCATTCATCGAATCAAAAAAGTACAAAACTTTTCAGAAACAAGTAGACATAACCCTATTTTCCTCAGTAAAATCCTCAATATGGAATCTAACAGTAATGCCTAATGATACCATTTTAAATTGGCTGGCGCAGGAGTAAAGATGGAATAAATCACCTTAGCAATGTATTGTGGAATGTGAAGTACGCGCGTTGCATCCATGGAATTCAGATGCAAAGTGGTGTTGGAGGGTGCGAAAGTGGATATATTCAACAATTCATCAATTTGGGAAAAAAAATCATCAATTTGGGCAATATGAAACGTTAAAGCGAAATAGAGGAAATGGACTTTGCAAGTAGTCCACCACATTATTACATATCAAGATGAGTTCTGTTTATCCTCAAAGGGCCCCCTGTTATATCTGGTTTATAGTTCTTTTAGCATACAGGTTGAACCTCAGAACTTGCAGCCATAGCCGAATTATCCTTCAATTTGGTGGAACAGAGTTGAAATAATATGAACTGAGGTTTTCCCTTAAGGATAAATCCCATTCTTCTAGATAATGTGCGTTTAATCACAATCAAACCTAATAGTCTAGCAAGTAAAGAAAAACCATAAATGCTTCAAGACTTAAGATAGTGGGTGTCAAACAAAATAGGCATATATAATTGCCCTGTATTGACCTTCCTCATCCCCACTTAACTAACATTATTTAATATACAGTAGAATAAAAGATGTTAGTGATCAGAGTATCTTTAATTTTAGCATCGAATATCCTAGATTTAAAATGGTAGAGTTTCAGTGTCTAACTTTAATTCAAGTATGACAACTGACCATGACAATATATTTAAAAAGTCAATTCTCAAAAAAAAAAATAATGCAGAGCAACATGTTATTTATTATTTATTTTTTTATTTCTTGATCAGCAATAGATCAAAATGGATTTTACTAAAATCATCTTAAGGAAAATGAATGTAGCAGAAAAAGATGCAAGTACGAAAGATGCTCACCATTCAGATATCAAAAGTGTAACATCTTCCCAAATCTTTAGAAGCTACTCAAACAGTTTCTGAGGATTATTACCATGAGTCCAGTAATCCAACTTCAAGAATAAATCTTATTCCAAATCTTTCCAGAAGTAATATTAGTTTTTTGATATTGGCAATGAGAACGTATTAAGATAAAAGAGCAAAAGAACACATAACAGCAGAGGGGGAGGAGGAAAACTGAAAAGACCTCCAACCCTGCATATCAAAGAGGAACCATAGATATTACAATAAAACTCTGAACATAAAAATTCCAAAAAAACTTTAGCTTAACAAGAATCCTGTATGAATATAGCTATCAAACTAACTCAACAAAAGATGAGCTAGTTTAGGAGAGAGAACAAGAAAGAGAAACTAAAAAGCTATTTGTGTTCACTTTATTTTTAATATTCCATGGCAGATTTGAAACCTCAAATGGGAGGCTAAAACATCAAGAAATAAGAAAATCAATATCCATAAATATCTATTAACTTGAGGTAGCTAGAATACCAAGGTTTAATTGAAGGACCTGCAAGAAACTAGAGTTTGGATCAAATAACATTCAAATACTGGTTGTAGATTAATGTGGACAGAAGTATAAAGGTATTGATTTGTTTCCTCCTCAAAACAAATATTGTGTTTCTTACAAGCCATGGTTTATACAATCAGATAAAGAAGAAATAAAACCACAAAACTCAAAAAAGAATTCCTCTTTTTTGTTTCTTCTGTATTCTTTCATTTATTTATTTTGAATGCCAAAGAAATGATAATTTTAAAACAGAAGAAAAAGAAGAGAAAAACATGCAAGAACAGAAATCTAGCAATAAATTTGAAATGCCTTCAGTTTCCCAAAAAGAAAGAGAGGAAGAGGAGTCTATTGCAGCAAACTGAAAAAAAGAAAACTTCAAACTTGAAAACTACTAACAAGTGAATGATTAAACTAAATTAAGAAAAATAACAAAAAAAACATTGGAAAACCAGGAAATTACGACCTACAAGAAAATTAACAAAAAACGCAATGAAAAAACCATTACCTTGTTAACATCACAGAACTCAGTGCTTTCATGGAGCATCCAGAACGCCCTCATTGTCCTTGCATCATTCTCTATTCACCAACAGAAGAGCCTTACCAGAGAGAGAGAGAGAGAGAGAGAG